CTTACTTAATCTCTGTCCATTAACCACTGATAATCAGCGCTCAATTGACCATATTTATCCAACACAACGAACATGGAACAGTACAACAGGTAAACATCAAGACAAACATGGACCACGTAATCAGAATAGTCACTCCACGGTATCCTGCAAACACATAAAACAAATTATTCACAACAGTTAAGTCATGGTGTTAGTTTTACATTATAATAACAGCAGTGCTTTCTCCGCCTGTGAAATAAACCACGTTATAGTTTGTCTCTCACACACTTTTGGGACAATCACTCCTGCAATTGAATATATACATTATTAGACAAAGGAGATAGTCACAGTCTTAAGTCAGTCATTGTGGCCACCAGATACAGTCAGTCAGAGCTTAGAGTCCACAGTTGGGTCGGTCATTTCTCCTGTGCACGTTCACAACGCCACCTTGAAATTTTCCTGCCATGTTTTCCTTTGTTTTTCATCCTGCCTCAAAACCTACTGCAACTTGTTTTAAAACCCAAATAAATTACTCATATTAGCTGGAGCGCCTTTACAGCCTCCAAAAGTCTCTCTTGCACACCTTCCTGTTCACTCTCCATCTGTTACTCTGCCCTATTACATCATACTTTGCACTTCCTCTTTCTCTACCCTGCTCAACAGAAGCAATAGCTTTTCCTTACTGCCATCTCTTGGCACCCTATCATCTTTCTGTAGTTTTCTGAAAAAATGTCTCATATTGTTTCACCTTTTTTGCTTCTCTGACTCCTTCATACCACTTTCAATTTGTGTTTTATTGTAATTTCACCATTCTCTGATACTTTCTTCCTCCTGTAAATCACTTCTACCAAGTTCTTTGTCAAATTCTCCCTCCATTACTCCACAATACAAGGTCAAAAATACAAGTTCTTTTTATTAATATATGTTCCCCTTGACTTAGTGTGTGAATGACTCCATCGGTCAACTTGACAGATCTACGAGACAAGCTTCTAGATCAAACAATTTTGGTCCGGTCTCGTACTGGGGGTTAATTTCCAATCTTGTCAAGTCTTTTAATTCATACTCAAAAATCAAGCTAAGTTAATATTACTAACAATCATTAGTGTTAGCTATACAACAGTAACGTTAACAATACTTGATGTGAAGGAAACAGAAATTGATCAGAGACCGCTTCCATGTTTAAGCTTTATTTTTTCACGTCGTTCAGGCAACCGTTGTGTCCCTGGGTAACCCTAGTCTCCTAAGGGGATGCTAGCCGTTGCCTTCGTGGATTAATTAATACATGACATCCAAACACTAGTTCCACAAACCCCTTCACATTGCTAAACTTTATTTATAACACAGTCCTCTGTAGCCACACCTTTGTATCCATTGCATACATAACAATAAAAATAAACTCAGTTGTTATTTTATTGCTAGTTTGGCATATTAGGGCTCCAGTAGGATTAGAGCAGTGATCGCATCTAACAGGATACCTAACCATATAATAAATGTGATCAAATCCCATTGGGGTGCGCCTTGTGATTTATTTGCATGATGGCCACTTACCTGAGAAGAACCCAGGATGGGAATATGCCTCATTGAATAGAGACTGAACTGAAAATTTGTTTCAGAGATCATAACTAATAAATGTCGAGGTAAGTATGATTTATCCAAGATGAAGTTTAAAAAGTGATTTGTAAACTTCATTGTTTTTTTGTTTTGTTTTTTATTGTGTGTTTTCTCTGGCTATGCAGAAGTTGAAAATGCTAAGCGGGGACTTCAAGGAGGACAGTCGGCTTACAACATCGGCACAATCCACTCCTGGTAGCACCCCTTTTCTCACCCCCTCCGTCGCCCCCTGTGTTAGTCCCCACACCTCACCGACTGTTAATCGCAGGTAGGCACTGGGCAGCTGAAAGGTTTTGCTTGTGCAGTTTGTTTGTTTTTTTGTTTTTTTTATCTAAACCTAGATCCAAAATATTACATTGAAATTGGTGGAAATGGAAGTCCTTATGGTAACATTTCATTTTCCAACACAGCACATATGATATGCCATATGGTATAACCTTCACATGTTTACTTGTATGTTTATATCTTGCTCTTGTTTGGTGGCAGTAAGATAAGATGAACCATTATTAGTCCCACAGCTGGGAAATTCAAAAGGCTACAGCAGCAAATGAATAGAAACAAGGCACTCAGTGGTAAAAGTAGGAAAAGTAACAGACAAGTTATTATCAATATAATAATAAAAAGTAAGTCTAATATTTGCATATATAGGAAGAGGAGCTGGTTCCAGCTGGACTGCTTTGCTCTGTTTCTTTGCATACAAGATAAACTGTCTAATGCACCAGAAATATTTATTTATTCCTAATTCCTGAAGCACTTACTCCATTTAGAACAACACCAACAAAAGAAGGGCATCCTTGCAATCCAAAACCAAAAAAACTCTAATGCTAATCATGCTACTTGCAGAGTGCACCATACTCCTAAGCTGGACCAGAAACACTGTGCATCCCTTAGCCTGCACCAGCTGGGTCCTGCACCTTTGCTTGCCACCCCAGAGTTCAGTCCAAACCCTAGCACAGATATGGGAGGAAATGAGGGAAGAGGAGGAGGAGAGTGGTGGAGCTTCTTTGGAACTCGGTCTGTGGTACAGAAGTCCCCCACTGACCCTGGATCTGAAACCAGCAGAGGTGAGGTTTTATACCCAGTCCCTGCATCGGGATCTTGACTGCATTTCAGTATATTTTTACAGTATTAATGCACAGTACATCTGTACATCACTTCAGCGAGGATGCCAGAAAAGCAAGACTTTTAGGGAATGTTGAAGTTACTCTATAATGATGATAGCAAAGCATCAGTGACATCCTCCACTTCCTCCTCACTCCTGCAGGCTTTACACTGCAGTCCTACTTTGGCATGCAGAAGTCCTCTACCATGGACGGCACCAACACTCAGGTCAACCTCGATGTACAGGACCCTGCCAACTTCATGCCCCCCAAAATTGATATCTCGGGCGTTGAGGCAAAGCAGGCACCCCCGCGGGCACACAAACTTAAACCTCGGGACATGAACGTTTTAACACCTTCAGGGTTCTGAAGCCAGACCAGCTGTATCGTTACACCTGTGTACCACATTCTGAGCAGTTCCTTTATTTCTATCTGGTTGCTCTTTTGACTGTCTTGCCTTTCTTTGTCTCCTCTGCCTTGCTGCACATTCACTGAGGACCACTTGCTCACTGGCCCCCAAGACTTCACCACTCATACCTCCTCAGATGGATTGTTACTTTCTCATACTCCACAGCATCCTCTTCCTGTTTCTTCCAACTTGTTTCAGATAAAACACCATATCATGTAACCTCATTGTCATCCCATAAGATGGTAGTGCTTTGTATTATTGTTGTTGTTTTGTCACATAATAGTTGCTTTGGCCTGCATTGCCTTGCTTGTTATTCCTTTGCTTAAGTTGATGACTTTTGCTGCCTCCTGTGCTATAACTAACTAGTTATTTCAGATCATAACGCTCAGTTGCCTCATTTGTAATTTTTTAATAAGCTCAGAAATATAGTTGTGTAGTGCTTGTCTCTGTTAGCATGCAGAGTATTGTGTGGTATGACTGTGCCTAAGCAGGTAACGTGTTTGCATTTGGCATTATTGTTATCTAAGTTAAGGTTTGGAGGTTTTTATGATGTGGAAGACCATGTATTTTATTTTATGACAGAGTATGAGTGCTGACCCGAAGTGTTTTTTTGTTTTTTTTTTTACTGTTTTTTGGTTTTTTTGTTTTTTTTATTTCATTCTGTGTGTTTTTATGGAAATCTGCTTGAAATTGACATTCTTCATTCTAAATAGGTAGTACGTATGTTGTGTTGACATTTTTCACACATCTTTATACATCACAACATTGCTTTAGTGTCTTAAATGATTCACAGAATTGAAGTGGCCATTTTCTGTTGTGTGTGTGTGTCTCACAATCCATAAACCTAATGTTTTAATTTTTTTAAAGTTGATCAATTCCAGTAAGTTATTGCACAAGGGGGGTTGTCTCTCACTTTAAATTGTAAATAAATCTGACAGTAAGAAGCAAAAGTGTTTTTCTTGGTTGTTTGCTTTTTGTTTTAGTACAGATAGTGGGCAGGCCTCCCTACTTCCATATTTTACTGTGCACTCAGTTATGATAGAGATGCATGCCATGAATATTGACAACTATGCATTATAAGATAACACTATTTTTTGATAGGCATGAAGGTATTTTTAGTGTTAACTGGTGGTTTTTTTGCTTGAAATGAGAATAGCTGTGTTTATATTTGATAATCCCAGGATTTTTTTGGTTGCAAAAAATTATTTTTTTGTACTATGTCAAACTACAGTAGAATGTGATCTAGGCATTATAAAATAGATGTCATTTTCACATAAATTCTTGGTGTAATTTATTCAAGATAAAGTCACCATTTAAACAATTATATATGTATATTTCCATTATCATGGAAAAAAATCAACTGGCGCCAAACCAGTTCGAGCCCAGGCCGACCCGGGGCCATTCTGTGTGGAGTTTGCATGTTCTCCCTGTGCCTGCGTGGGTTCTCTCCTGGTACTCTGGCTTCCTCCCTCAGTCCAAAGACATGCAGCTGAGGTTGATTGGCGACTCTAAATTGCCCCTAGGAGTGAGCGTGGGTGTGTGTGGTTGTTTGTCAGCCCTGTGATAGACTGGCGACCTGTCAGGGTGGACCCCACCTCTTACCCAATGTTAGCTGGGACTGGCTCCAGCCACACTGTTCAGGAATAAGTGCTATAGATAATGGATGGATGGATGATAGAATAATTGATTTTGCAAATGTTCAACTGCACTCTTTGGACAGAAGATGGCGCAGTTAACACATTCAACATGAAATCACGAGTTGTTGCAAAAGTTTCCTTCTTAGTAGTTAATCTTTTATATTCACTATAATTCTCAGAGCAAAAGCATGTATGCTGCAGTCAAATGATGTATTACATATAAACGGAAAATTAATTTAGCCACACAGGTATGAAGGGCAGATGTGAGAAGAACCTGGAGGAGAATGTGCCTGTCTAGTGACTAATCTACCAGCTCATCTGACGAGTACACAGATTTAATTAGTCTTGTACTGCTGTTGTCAGAAAGATTGATGATCTTTATAATAGCAATTATCAACAACAGCACATGATAAGTGAATATTGTCTCCTAACCAAAGCCCCCCTCTCCACATCAAAGCAAACATCTAGGCCATCAGAAATCAAGCCGGTGGGGAGAAACAGCAAGGAGTAGGGCTTCCACAACCCCCTACCCCCACCCCCAGCCCTTAAAGCCACTAACTCCTAAGGTTTACTGCCTTGCCAAAGCTCTCAGCAGTTTGTCTGATGCTCTCTCTTTCTTTGTGTGTGTGTGTGTGATAGATTTATTACATAGTGCGCCTCTTGCTTTCATTACAGAAAGACAACAATGCTAATCTTTCTTTGACTTGAGGCAAATCTTTACTATCTCAGCAGAGATATAAACCTCACACTGAGCATCAAGAAGATGAAGGAAATAATCAGTGACTTCAAAAAGAAGAAGGAGGCTCTCTCCGCTCAGTTCATTAAAGGAGGGGAAGTGGAGAGGGCCTCCAGTTTTAAGTTCCTACAGGCTTACTTTACAGAGGACCTCACCTGGACTGTCAGTTCTACAGCTATACCTAAGAATGCTCATCAGTTCTTAAAAAGACCATCTTGTCTGTAAAACTACTCACAGCCTTTTATCACTGAGAGTGTTTTAACATACTGTATTGCAGCTTGGTACATAGACTGCACAGAATCAGGATCAGAAAATACTCCAGAGTCATCAAGACTTCTGAGAAATTATTGCCTGTATTGGAGGGCATCTTTACAACGTGTTATTTATGCTGAGCTAACAATATCCTTGAGGACGGTACACACCCCTCCCATCAGCTCTTTCCACCTTTGCCCTCCAGTACGTGCTACAGTGGCCCCAGATAGAAGACTTTAGAGTTTGGCACTGGAAAATAAAGCTTGTCTTTGAAAACAAAACTGAGAAAAACAAAACCATAACTGAAAAAACAAACACTGGCATTGAAGCATTTGTATTGGAAAAAAAACACACTGGTATTTAAAAAAAAAAAAGCATTATTACTGGGAAAATGGCTTCAGATTTTTTGTCAACATAAGTCTGTTTTAATGCCAAAGATGTGTCTTTTAGTGACAATCTTCAGATTGTCACCAAAGTTTTTTTCTTTCAGTTTCACTTCTCCGTCTCTGTTTTGGCGTGGAGGGGAGGGCTTTGAGGGGTGGGGCTAAGGAGAGTGTGATTTGCATACACTAGTTGAGATCCATGAAGGGAGGCCAGCCCTCTCCCTCGAGCCGCTGTCCACATCGAGGCCTCTGTCTGCCAAACTCCTTGCCGGGAAGACTATCAGGACTGATCACTAAGAGCCACTTATTATGAGTGTATAACTGACAGAACTGGCTACTTACCTGATACTGCTGCTTGTTCTTATGTTGTCCACTTTTATTAGGGTTCACTTAACTTAACTTATATATTTATATTTTTAATTATATGAATGTGAGGGAGGGTTGTCTATTGAGTGTGTGTATGTATCGTTTCATGCAGACAAAGGCCTGTCAATCAAAAGCCAGGTGTGGACAGTCATTAGTGGCAAATGAAGTTGTTATTACCGTAATACAGTGGTTGGAAGCTATAAGAAAGCACAGCTATGGAGAGATAGCCAAAACTACAAACACAACCAGTGATTCAGTCACAGGTCACATGTCTGTTAGAGGCCAGCACATAAACAACTGAGTAGAGATGGCACTCTACTAACACTAATCCAAAAACGGTCGGCACACACAGCAAGACAGCAGGGCAAGAGAGACAGTGGGTGGGGTAGTGTAGTGTGGACAGAGTAAGTGAGAGCAAAGGGTGGAGTGCACCAGCAGCCATGACATAATACAAATGGCTCTTTTTCCGCATTCGACATGACGTGAGCCCCCACCGACCATCACCACCCCACCCCCGAATTCTCTGCTCTCCACCCCCAACTTTGGCTTAATCCCACACAAATCATTTAGCTCACTCACAGATGTGCGATGGCAAGCAACACCCTGCCAGAGTGACCATTCCCCAAAACAAACACTGCGGTTTCATCTGCAGTCCGACATGACACGCTCATGAACTCAGCCATATTTTTCAAACACTGGTCTGGCTAAATTCCTCAAGAATACAACCATTCATCCACAGACCGTATTTTAATTGCTCACATCCGTGTGGCATGGCTTTGACTCACTGGTCTGGTTAAACCACCCCAGTGTAGGCACCTAAACAGAAAACAACGCCATGTGACGGCAAGCCACGCTGTTCAGCTTGCTCCACAGATGCTGCTTTATGTGTATTAATTTTACAGTTTGTTTTGCAGTCTAAATGTGCACTGTATAAAGTCCAGTTTTAAAAAGGAGTGTGTGACCTCTTATCTAGTAGCTACACAGGAGGGGTAGGAACATTTTATGTCAGAGTGACTCCAGGAATATGCCGCGAAATCCTTTCACCGGTCCTTGAGTGCATACATGTACATTCCGTGAGAGGGATTTTGTAATAAACTGGGTAGTTATGTTCATGTGGCAATAAATTCTTTTAAAGGCTCCTGTGACGCAAACATTTTTGAAGACTTGACAATGAATTTTTTATGACACACTAAAGACAGTGATAAGATGAAGAAGACATTATTCCAGGTATTACAATTAATTGTAGCTTCTAAGTTATGTATACAGTATGTATGGCCTATTAAACTCACAACTTTTTGCTGCTTGTGTTACAAACATCACAGCCCATGACGATGACTAATGTGTTGTTTTTTCAGAGGTAATCTAATGACATGAACAGCTGGTGACAGCCCTTAACAAGGGACTTGGAGGGGGTCCCTTTTGACGTTTGCTGCTGGGTGGGTTCTCTACGCCGTATGATACACTGTCTGACTCCAGAACCACATCTGGGGCTGATTCACGGTGATGTGGCCCGGAAGGGAACACACCAAGCTGAGGGGAGCTTGCTGGCGGGGTGGGGTGTTGGGGTCGGGGGGTACACAGGGACCTCAGTAGAGCTGATGCCTGCCTTCAGAAAGCTACTGTATCCTGCTCAAGTAAACATAAATCATTCCTATGGTATCTGGCAATAGAGTTACAGTGTTATGGCTATCAACACAGATGTCACATACCAGTTGCGTAATAACAAACTGCTGCACCACATAAATAATGAAGACATGACCTCTGTCACAGTGTCTCGTGTCCTTGAAAATTCCCTGCCGAGAAAGTTAGAAGTTAAAAAGCTAGAAAATGCATGTGGCTGCAAGTAACATATACTGAAGGCTGTTAGTTTCAATATCCTGCAGGCAAGAAATAGTGTATGAAAAACACAAATAAGCAAACAAAAAAGTGACAGCTGTTGGTATGACAAAAAAAATCTGGCCTAAAGTCCTTTGTTCCAAAATATAGTGCTCACTGCACTGTTTCTGGGGCAGCAGCATGCTAAGTGAATCATATTCATGTATGTTTTTTGTGTGTTTGTCATTCTTGTTTTGCTTGTTTGTTTATGTATGCACATGCAGGGAATGATGGTGATGTGGAGGGAGATAGCCTTTGCGCACCGCACTGTTTTGTATTATTCATTGTGCTTTTGGAAAAACTGAACAAACACTTAACTTAAAACGTTACCTGTTTTAAATAACCCAGTTTCTAGCCTAGGGACAGCCGTGTGTTTGTCTCTGCGCTGTTCATCAGACATTCTCCTGCTATCCCCCACCAAGAAAGTGAGAGAGAAACAGAGTGGAGGAGATTCCCTTCAACAAAGTCTTAACAGTCAGCTGGAGGTGCTCAGCTCACCAGAGCTACATCCGTTTGAGACACTCATACCCTGAACATTCACATACATACCCAGAGAGCTAAAGCTTCACTGTGTGTACATCCCTGCCTGTGTGTGTGTGTGTGTGTGTGTGTGTGTGTGTGTGTGTGTGTGTGTGTGTGCGTGTGTGGCTTGAAAGTGAAACTTTATTGTGTGTGAAATGATTCATATTTGGATGTGCTACTATAAGATGTTAGTTAACACCCAAGACACATGTTGTGCAATTGACTAAAGTGCATCACATTTTCTAATCTAAATGACGCGGCCCAGGCTGTAATGTTTCCTTATGGAGTCGTGTTGAAGGTTAAGATGTTTCCATCCTCATTTATCTCCAAGACTTGGCTATACTGATTATTCTTTATCATCATTCAAACAGATACATGTGTCATCATTATTAAAACTCTGACTTAGGTTCATCGTTCTCTTCACTATTCATGTATTATATTCAAATATTTAGCAATGGCTAACAACATCTTTTTTTAATAAATTCATATCAGACTATTTTTTTTTGAGTGAGAAAGTAAATGAATGAATAGACTGTTTGTTTTTATGTGTGGTTATCAGACATTCTTGGCTGCTGTTGCTGTGGGCTCACCCTCACTGCACACACAAAAGCAAAAAGTCCAAATGAATTAAATATTGAACTTCCTCCAAATTCCTTGATAAGCCACAGCAAAACCTCCCTGTTTGCCTATCATTTTATATACTGCTTATCATGAAGAGGGTCACAGGGAGGCTGGAACCAATCCCAGCTGACATTAGGCAAAAGGCGGGGTCCACCCTGAACAGGTCACCAGTCTATCATAGGGCTGACACTTAGAGACAGACAACCACACACGCACACATGCACTCCTACGGGCAATTTAGAGTCGCCAGTCAACTCAAGCTGCATGTCTTTGGACTGTGGGAGGAAGCCACGTAGGCACTGGGAGAACATGCAAAGTCCACACAAAAAGGCCCTGGGTTGACTTAGGCTTGAACCCAGAACCTTTTATCTGTAGGGGCGACAACGCTAACCACTGTTCCACCATGCCACTCCCTTAATTGTACCTATTAATCCTTTAAGCCAGGAGCCAAATGTGATTCTTGCACATCTACTGTACACCTGAATGCATGTCAACATATAATACAAAAAAGATGCCCACATGTAAAAGCAGGGGGAAATTTTTAACCCAAACATGGAAATACAGTTTACTTTTTGTACACTCACAATGGCTCATCCCTGTTCGTCTTCATTGTGATCACGTATGATGTACTGTAGTTTGGGAAAAGCGAGGTGAGGCATGTGATTTGGCCAGACACTCACATTCCTCAAGTAGAGACGTGGACAATAAGTGGACAGGGAGAACACACAAGCACCCATTTCATACTTTTCTGATTCAGGTTCTGTGCCTTTCTTTGTCATTTTTATAGGCTTTCCTTCCCACACACACTCTTTTACA